AATTGGATACATGGCACCAGAACTGTTCTATAAGAATATTGGACGCGTCTCGTACAAAGCAGACGTTTATAGCTTTGGGATGCTATTATTAGATATGGCTGGAAAGCGGAATAAATTGAATATATCAACAAAAGATTCAAGCCAGTACTTCCCACAATGGGTTTACAACCAAGTTTCTGATGGAAGAAATGGAGAGATTGGAGGCACTACAGAGGATGAAAATAAAATAGCTAAAAAGATGGTTATGGTGGGGTTGTGGTGTATTGAGATGAATCCTGGTAACCGACCTTCCATGAACAAAGTTGTGGAAATGCTCATTGGTGATGTGGAAGGTCTGCAGTTGCCTCCGAGAGCTGTTGCAGAACCTATAGAAGTACTGTTCAACGATGAAAAAGATTCGTCATTCCACTATTCCACAGAATCCACCAGTTTGATCTCGAACTTTAAGCAAGTTAGTCGCAGTACATGAACTGCCTGCCGTATAATATACTATGGAAACAATTGATACCCAATTTGAATAATGTGGCTTTTGAATGTATAATCAATGTGTCTTGTTTTAATTGTATATATTCTTTGTTAGAGCGTGTTGGGTGAATTTGATGAATGTGACATATACATAACTTTTGATTTCACACGCTGAATAGTGTAATAATCAAAATAAGTATGTTCGAAGTTAGTTTTCTACTAAATTGACTGAAGTTAGTTTTCATGCGCAAATTATTTTAACTATTTTTCAATGTAAGTTTTGTCTTTATTTGAACATCATCGGCGGCGGCGCTGTCAACAGCCTTCTTTGTGTTGAGGAGATGAAAGAAGTGAGCAGCAAGAGATGAATGATGAACACAAGTAATGGCCTTGAATAACCCATCATATCGATCGATCACTTTTAATTTCCTTGTTTATATTTGAGGTCGGAACTCTAGCTGTTTTGTGGGTTAATCAGTAGGTAGTTGCCTATGTTGCACGGATACGGATACGCCGATACGCGGATATGCGAATACGGGTACGGCGATACGGCAATTTCAAAAATTATAGGATACGGGTACGGGGGTATATTTATAAATAATAAAAATATAGGATTTAATTTGCAAATATATATAATTCAGGGATTCATAAATAAAATAACTACAGTACAAAAAATTAACTATTATAATAAAATTTCAAAGATTACGCTGGAAAATCTAAAGTACTGATATTTTGATTTAAATTCAAATAATATTTTTTGTTCTCTATTTGCATTCACATCTAAGTTTCGTTTCAATTAAACTTCATCAAGCGATAAAATGACAAATAAATTATAGTATTCCATTATTTTTCATACTCCCGAAATCATCTTTATCAATGTTCCGCATTTTGTGGTCGCTTGAGCGGCTACTAAGTTTTCTTCATGTCGTTTACGAAATGAGGATTATAGGAGCGGATACGTGTATCAGATCAATGATACGGGTATCGGTTTACGGATACGGGTATCAGAAGTATCGGGATTTTAAAAAATAAGCCTGATACTTATATTAAATTACGGATACGGACCCAATACGTACAGGACGCGTATCGGTGAGTATCGGTATCAGATACGTATCAGATACGCGGATACGGCATCGGGGTGAAGTATCGGTGCACCGTAGGTTGTCACTTGATTCCCACAACAAGGCTACGGAAAAGCTAAGGCACAGGATCGGAAGTGAATACTAGCTTAGCTAAATGAGAGTATTTCAATTGATGCTAAATGTAGCAAAAATCTAATAAACTACATTCAGTAATTCCTTGTAAACAATGAATCCATTACAATGTAACAATAAAATTAGTATAGCAAAAAGTGTGCCCATCTCCTGTAATACTTCACCAAGATATATGTCCCATGCTTGCGGCGGATCAACCTCTCCATTTCTGGTTACACAAAGTTAAACAAATATTGGAGTTAGTGATGCACGTAGTAGTTCTTATCAAACTGAAGTCATATAACTAGCAAAAAACAGTGCAACAACAAAAAAAACTTAATCCGGAAGTAGAGTGAAACAAACGAATTTCATATTTATTTGATGCAACAAAAAATTAATTTGGAAACAGATTGTAGCAACAACAAAAAAATGCAGCAAACTACCGGGCTTGATTTTCCTACTGCACTTTTCTTCCCTTTGATCTGCAACTTGGTTGGTGTTGCAAGTCTTTCTTTCTTTCCTTTAGTATTTGGGCTTTAGTTTGTTTACACCTTCTCATGTTGTGACCTTCTTCACCACAATTGCTACATTTATTAGCACTTCCTCTCTTTGTTAGCTTAACATCTTTTCTTTCATCTCACCAGCTTCTTTCCTCCTTTGCATCTTAGGCCTACATGCAATCCTTTTCTTCAAAATAGGGGGGTATATTGGTGGATTGGATAACTTTAGCCACTCTTGAGCACCATTTAGCGGTTCTAGCACGTATTCGTAAGCTTTTAAGTATTGATTTTTGTGAAACCAGTGGGCCACATAATGCTCTGAATGTTCACCGGTGGCCCAAATGGCAGTGATCGCATGACGGCAAGGGACACCACTCAACTGCCAAGCCCTACAACTACAAGTTTTGCTTAAAAGGCTAACAACAAACTTCTCCTGACCCAAACCATGCCTGATGCCATAACAAAAAACCCCATCCCACTTTGCTGTCCATCCCCTTGATTTTAACTTGGCATTTTCAAGCTTCAACTGTATTCGTGGGCATAAGAAAATCTGTTTTTTTCTAATTGCATCTCTATTACGGTGTAACCTTTCCATAAGTAGCTCCCTTATCTCCTCGAGCATCGTAATAATAGGCTTGTGTCTACTAGAGAGTATGAAAGAATTAAAAACTTCACACACATTGTTGTCTACACTATCACATGAGTTGTGGTATTCATAAAAAGCCCTACACCACTTGTTAGGATTTCTTTGAAGCAAATCATCTGCGGCTGCACGTGATAGAGTTCTGAAATTTTTAATTAGTTCATCAAAGACATTAGGGGTGGTTGACTTTGCTATCTTCCAAAATTCTTGCCTAAGTTGTTGACCTCCTCCAAAAATTCCCCTAAAGTTGGCATAAACATGCCTAGCACAACACCGTTTTTCAGCACTTGGAAAGACATTACCAATAGCATTTAACAATCCTTTTTGTTGGTCTGACATTATGGTATAACCAACTCCAGATTCAATATCACAATCTTGTGCTAGCAATTCAAGAAACCAATTCCAACTATCATTATTTTATGTCTCAACCAGAACCCATGCAAAAGAACCCTTTAAAAAACAACCATCAAGTGAAATGAAGGGGCCTGCATCCCTCCAAAAATCTTTTCTTGAGACCTGCACAACAAATATATATCCTCTGAAATGTTCCATTAACACACTTTATTTTGACATTATTTTCAGGGTTCGCTCTGAAAGTTTCAGCAGGATATCTATTTAGCATCATATATTGTTCCTTGTATTGACCTATAATCAAATATTGAGCTTTTTTCCTCGACTTGAAACACATCCATAATGAAACCTTGACTCCAATTTCAGTCCAAATGGTGTCTTGTATCTCAAGCAACTTCCAAAATGGGGAACACCTAAATCTGTTTATATAGTTTTTTGCTATCCAATCTGAATTCACTTTCTTAACTTTGTCAATTCTTCCATAAGTATGTTTCCCGTTATATGTTTTCACTTGAAAAGTCCTTTCATTACATACCAAGGAAGCCCAAATTCTCCATTCACAATTACTGTTTTTGCACTTTGCCCCCACTCTTGATGCCTTATTAGTTGTAAACTTGATATCCCTCCCACAGGAAATGGAATAGTTTCTAACAGCTTCCTTGAATTGTATTGAATCTTTAAATTCTTGCCCTACATATAACGAAGTGTTCTTGAAATCGTCCCCTTCTTTATAACATGTTCCTCTCTCCCTTTTTCTCTTTATCTTAACCGTCACTTGTTCCTCTTCTTCTGAGCTTAAAGGACTACAAACTTTGAGCTATCTTCATAATCAGTTTCTGTATTGTTCAATCTCTCAGTGCCGTCATGCTTTCCCCAAGCTTCAATTGACATCAATGTTTGTAACTCTTTTTCAAAGCTTAGTTCTTCCATTTTGTCATTTTCAAGCCTTTTTCGCGCTTCAAGCAGCTCATCATCATCAATTTCAGAATCATATCCATTCTCAGCAGCAACATTTGGTTGTATAATCTTACATATCTCATTGCACTCACTGTCTGTTGTATAGCACAAGATTGTGATATTGAATCTGGAGTTGGTTATACCATAATGTATAAGCATAAGTGGTTTCTGATTAATGTTCATTTCATTGAGATTATATGAAATTCAAAAAATTAACACTAAATCTAAAATAGAAAACACACAAGTACACAAAGAAGTGAAACATACTAAGAAAATATTACAGACCGAAGATAGTCTTGGATATGAAGAGGTTGATGTTGGTTTGCTAAAGCAAGAGCTCCATCTTCGTGAAACTGAACATGGATTTCTGGAATTAATCCCTTCCTTTGAGCAATTCACTCCATCTTCCTAATAATTCATTTTCCGTAGTCGATTGCTATTGTTGTTCTCCTTCATACGATTCCTAAGTTGTAATCGTATCTTGAATAAGAAACCCTAATTTTGGAGGACAAGAATTAGATGAGTGCAATGTCCATATGTCTATTGTATTAAAACCAACTAAAGTAGTGTATTTCTTTAGTCTTTGTATTTGTTATTTTAATATAAATAAAAGATAATTACTTTAGTCCCCAATACCCAAAAAATATAACATCAGTCCCCAAAAGCAGAATTGAAAGATAGTTCAGTCCCCACTTTTATACTTCCTCCGTCCCTTTTTTTGTTGCAACGGTTAATGAATAGTAGTGGGTGGAGATATTATTACGGAGTAATTTATTACTCACAAGTCATTGAAGACGAGGTCAACGAGTCAATAACGAAGATGAGGTCAACGAAGACGACGTCAACGCGTAATTTATTTATTACGTACTAACAAACTCCGTTTTCTGCACTAGCTAATAACGCAGCGAAGAACAGAGATGGGGCTTATGAATTTCAGAATGGTGTTTTTATGTAACTTATTATTGTTGTTGTTATTAAACTCGTTGGTTTTCACGGCGGCGGCGGTAGTAGAGTGCCGTGAAAGAAGGTGCGGGAGGACTAGCCCCGCCGTGAAATTCCCATTCCGAATCAGAGGTCTGCAACCTGCCGCCTGTGGCTACCCCCTCCCGTCCTTTGATCTGTCCTGCAGCAGCTCAGGGGAAACGCTGCTGCAGCTACCAGACTCCGTCACTCTCTCCGTCAAAGAAATCGATTATGCTTCTCAGTACATTCATGTCAGCTTTTGGGCCGGCTGCCTCCCTAGGATGCTTCCGACCTTAAGTTTGCCTTCTTCTCCATTCCAACTACCCGCCGACGAGTTGCGTATTCCTTCCACCGTACTCCGTTGCACGCCGGCACCGCGAACATCTACATGGGCATCTCTGATCTCTTGTCCGAACGATCCAGCAGGCTATCAATTTTTTGTTACGATCTCTGATTTGAGTGTTGGCGCTCCCGTTTTACAATCTTGTACAAAGATGTATGACATCGCAGCAGCACTTCCATTTGTTGGATTCGATGGCACCTTTCGATTGAAATGGTCCGACCCGGAATGTGGAGTCTGCGGAGCGGAAGGCAAATATTGCAGACTCACCTACCCGGAGATGAAGAACGGACGCAACACAACAGAGTGCTATGATTTTCCCACAAAAGGTACGTGCGTTTTCCCACATGTTACTACTTTCTACCATAATACGAGTAGTATAATAATAAAATAAAAATTAATTGCCCGAGTAAAATACAATCTCTTTACTCTAAATAGGAGTTCATGTATTTTTTTTTTAAATACTTCCCCCTAGTTATTTTTCGTAGAATAGAATAGAATTAGATATTACATTTGTATTTATAATATAATTGACTTCCCCCTAGTTATTTTTCGTAATAAAAGACAATCCGTTGGTGGCGTGACAAACCGGTGGTGGCAACAGCTATGAGGCGGCGACCAAGGACCCACCCTTGTAGGGGTATTCTTGTCCAATTACAAAAAGACTTCTATTTAGGAAATTATAAAGATTTATTTCTATTGACATATTTTACTCCTATTATAGGAATTAACTATAAGATAAAGTTTCCATTTTGTTTTTAAAACGGGAATATAAGAAACTAAAACAATTAGAAATTGCTCACTATAGGATCAAAAGATATCTAGAGTGCAAAACAAGACTAAATATATTTTATTTCCCATATAGGACTTAAGATGTTTTTACTTGGATTAAATTTGTTGGTCTGGTCTTATCTGATCTGTTTAAGTCTGAACTGGTCTGCTAAATGTCTAGTCTTTGTGTATTTTTTTATAACCATGGAAGTCTGGTCTGTTTAAGACAGGTCTAGTCTGGTCTTTGTGAGAGTAATTGCATACTTTTAAAAGAGAAACATACCAAAAAGGAAAAATGTGTTAAAAATACTTTCCGAAAAGAAAAATGTAGCAAACAAAAAAATTACGGAGGGAGTATATGTATATCTGATCTATTTTTATTTTTGAGTACTATTCTTAGTAGTTACTAGTTACTACCTTTGTTCCTGCTTAAAATTCTAATCGCAAAATGACACATTTTTTTTATAAAATAATTAATTTGATTATATTTTGAGAATTAATTTAGATGGTATATAATATAGTAAGGACCTTTATGATAATTGTGATGTTATAGTTGTATTATTTTTAAATTGGGATGATTAAATTATCAATTAAGAGTGCTTATTATTTCGATCTAAAATAGAAATAAGAGCCTTTAGTTGGGACGTCCAACATGAAAGTGAGAACCCTAAGCGGTAAGGGAGTGATAGTAATGAAGGACTCACCTATATGAGAAAGAACAATTTATTTAGACTTATTTGGAAAATTGGAATTTCTACGGGTCAATTTTAATTACAATACTTAATTATACTTCGTATATATTAGTACTTACCTTTCAAAAAATTATATAAGTACTACTACAACTAATATCTTTTTCACTTTTTTACAGGCTCAATGAAAAAGAAAGTGATTACAGGTTGGCTAACGTACTTAGTTGAGTGAGTTCCCACATTATGGCAATCACATTTCCCAAACAATAACTAATAAATGGAGTGTCTGTGCGTGTGCAGGTGTAGTCTTCGGTTTGGTCTTTTTAATAGGAGCAGTTATTCTAGTCTTATATAGATATAAGCTTTATAGAATTGAGAAAAAATACCAAGCCAAGGTTAAGAAGTTTCTTGATGATTACAAAGCTTTCAAGCCGACAAGATACTTGTTTGCTGATCTTGTGAGGATTACAAATCGATTTGAGTACGAGTTGGGAAAAGGAGCACATGGAACTGTTTATAAGGGGAAGTTGTCTGAGAAAGTTAATGTAGCTGTTAAGGTCCTCAATGATTCCAAAGCAAATGGAGAGGAGTTCATTAATGAAGTTGGAACATTGGTGAAAATTCACCACGCCAATATAGTCCGCTTGATCGGTTTCTGTGCAGATGGATTTAAACGGGCTGTGGTATACGATTACTTTCCGAATGATACACTGCAGAAGTTCATTTCTTCACCAGACTCGAAGAACCGTTTTCTTGGTTGGAAATCTTTGGAACATATTTCTATTGGCGTAGCCAAAGGTATTGAGTATCTCCATCACGGTTGTGATGAAAGAATCCTACATTTTGATATCAAGCCACACAATGTACTCCTTGATGACAATCTCAATCCCAAAATCACCGACTTTGGCCTTGCTAAGCTGTCCTCTAGGGAACAAAGCCTTGTCTCAATGACAACAGCGAGGGGCACCATAGGCTATATGGCACCCGAAGTGTTCTCAAGAAACTTTGGGAACGTTTCTTATAAATCGGATGTTTATAGTTTCGGAATGTTGTTACTAGAGATGGTGAGTGGAAGGAAATGTGTTGACACCGAATCACATGCGGAGGATCAAATATATTTCCCTGAGTGGATTTATAATATGTTAGAGCAAGGAGAAGACCTAAGGTTTGATATTGAAGAAGAGAATGATGTTAAAATTGCAAAGAAGCTAGCCATTGTGGGGTTGTGGTGTAGTCAATGGAATCCTGTTGATCGCCCTTCCATGAGAAGTGCCCTTGAAATGTTAGAAGGGGAAGGAGATGATTTGAGCACACCTCCCAATCCATTTATCACTAAATCACATTCAAGAACTGTTGTAGGTGGAACAACCGAAGGGAGGCCTTGGTAGGACCAATACCTCCAACAACTTTGATGCAATAGAGGAAATAGAATAATCAACAGTAAATATTCCAATTCTCAATTACAGATTAAGTAAAAGGAATATGCAAGGGGATGGTTAGGGGAATAGTGAGATGTTCTCAAATTTACTCCAAATTGAGCAAGTGAGAGTGAAATAATTTGGATTAAATTTGAGAAAATTTTGGAATCTTCAGAATCAATTATCGATCTCCACTTTGAGTGTATCTCTTTCTGAAATAGAAGGTTAACCATTTTATTACTACGAATTTATTTAAGAGTGCATGTTGGGATAATGTTTGTATGAAATTTGTAATTTATAAACCCCTTATTTATTCACCACAAGTTGGGTGTTGTGGAATAAATAAATTATATTGTAGTAACTTGGGGTGGACACCCTTTCTCCAAAAATTGTATCATTAACTTTTGTGATTATGTGATATACCGAGTAGTTTTTTCCAAATTTAATGAAGCAGGGCTTACTTTGAACTTAGATTCCGTTTAATACCTTTTTTATTTATTTATAAAACAATTGTATGTAAACACAGTTACCTCAATATTTGACTATACATATCCTGATTTATTATTTATAACTTTGTATTACCGAGACTCCAAAGTCAGTAGTTTTTTTAGATATTGAGCCCCATTTGTTTGACTTTACAGTTGATATCCCAATCTTACCTTAAATTATAAGTTAATTTTGTTGATTTCTAATTTGACCAAATTTTCACCCGTGAAATTTCATAAACAGTTCATCTCAAACTGATTATAAGTTTATAATACATCTCCTGATTTAAATTATAAGTTTATAATACATCCCCTGATTTATTATTTATTACTTTGTATTACCGAGATTCCAACCTGATTTTAGAAGTAAATTAGAGCATCAGAATCACTTCTGCACTTTCACTCAAACACTTCAACTTCTGCTTCTGCTCCCTTTAAGCTTCCTGAATGAGCAGAAGCAGTTTTAAGAATTAGATCCAAACACCCCCTAAGTCAAAACAAAATATAACCAACTTAACCAACTAAGTGCAACGACTTAATAATATGCAGCTATATCATACTACCCCCTTAAAATGGACTTGTCCTCAAGTCTAGACAACAAAGTGTGGATATTGTGCTGCAACAGTTGAAGCATCCTCCCATGAAGCTTCACTAGCCGGAAAACCATCCCATTGCACTAAGTATTGTACAACTGGTGCATTCTGAATATACACCACTCTTCTATCAAGAAGTGATGCTCGCTTGAGTATAGAAGTGTTGTCTACATTTTGCCATTGCACCGGTATATGTGAGGCCATGAGCAAAACTCCTCAAGTCTAGACAACAAAGTGTGGATATTGTGCTACAACAGTTGAAGCATCCTCCCATGAAGCTTCACTAGCCGGAAAACCATCCCATTGCACTAAGTATTGTACAACTGGTGCATTCTGAATATTCACCACTCTTCTATCAAGAAGTGATGCTCACTTGAGTATAGAAGTGTTGTCTACATTTTGCCATTGCACCGGTATATGTGAGGCCATGGGCAAAACTCCTTTAAATCCCTTAACTTGAGATATATGAAGACATTATGGATCTTAGCTGAATCTGGTAGTTTCAGTCAATCACATCATCCACTTGAAAAGGACCAAAATACTTGTGAGCCAGTTTTTGATTTTGCCTACTCTGCATAGTCTGTTGTGTCACGCCCCGGACCTACCCGGACACGTCAACAACCCGTTGTACAATACGAATAGTCAACCGTAGACCAACTCATCCATATTGTACAAAGCGTCTTGAATATCATTCACACAAATAACATCCATAAACAACCATAATAAGTAATTCATAACGCAACGGAAAACATTGTTTAAAACAAAAGGGCCACACAGGGCTATTCATGAGCACACAGGTTCCATAGTAAAATATCCATGAGCATGTTTAATATTGTTCAATACAGAATGGAGAAAGCACGAACCATGTCTTCTCTCCAAATGATCACCCGAGCAACGGGCACAGGTAACAAGCTCAAGCCTCAACCTCAAATGGTGGTGGGATGCCCCCAAAAGGGTTAGTACTCTATACGCTATAAAGTACTGGTGTGGCAGGCATGTAATACAATTACAACAAGTATTTCACACACAAGACCCTCAAATAGGGTGATAATATAGTCTAGGCCGTAACCCCAAAGTTATCTCTTTTTAAAATACATACTTACTTTATATAAAGTCAAGTAGTCGGCCCGTAGACCCATGTTTATTACAAAACATTTCCCAAACCCTGTGACCACTAGTCACGACAATACATAGAGTCCAATCCTAATACGTCTACTTTATATCTCCAACCCTGTGACCACTAGTCACGACCATTGTTCTAAAACTCGCTAGGCGCTAGTCGGGCGGTTGGGGGGCACCTAGCGCCTAGGCGGCCGACTTGGCCGATTTTTTGGCCGATTAGGCCGATTTTTGACCGACTAGGCCTCTATAGTTAGGGCCGCCTAGGCCGCCTAGACCGATTAATCGGTCCGACTAGGCCGATTTTTAGAACAGGGGTCACGACCATGCATAGGGTCCAACCCTAATACATCCACCTTATATCTCAAACCCCATGACCACTAGTCACGACCATGCATAGGGTCCAACCCTAATACATCCACTTCATATCTCAAACCCCGTGACTACTAGTCACGACCATGCATAGGGTCCAACCCTAATACATCCACTTCATGTCTACCCAATGCAATTCTAGAGCTCGGGCTCAAGTGCATCTCCTCGCATTGGCATAGACTCCAAACCTTATATCTACCCAATGCAATTCTAGAGCTCGGGCTCAAGTGCATCTCCTTGCATTGGCATAGGCCCCAATTCCTAAGCACCACTATGCCTAGAATTGTCATATCACTAAAATATTCTGGGACATCCCTATGGACTGCCCCTAACTAAATCTCGATTCACAATTTACACTTGAAGTCCATCAAGTTCATCACAATACAATCCAAACCCTAGGTTTGATTCTATAAACAATTCGAACAATCCTTAACTAGTAATTCACTACTATTAAGATTATTCATGCAACTCATTTATTTTCATGGGAGCCCCTACATATCTAGAGACATGTGGTAGCCTAGCATGTGCTAAACATTATCATGCAAATATTCATTTAAGAGGGTGATGGATAGTCTACCCGGGGGGTATCTTATCCGAGGGGTTATTGCGGGAATAAATAGAGAGAAGTCAGAGTAAAATAGGAGGAGAGAGAGTCGATTTATTAAATGGACTCAGCGTGTGGAGTTGGGATGTGGATCTGGATCGTTTACAAAGAGAAATAGGCTGCTATTTATAGTAGCAATAAATGCGATGAGAGTACACGTGTCAGCAATCCGACGGCCGAGGGGTCACATCAGCCGGGTGGCACCGGCAGTGGTACGTTCACCGCATTGAATGCGGTTGGCGGATGTGACGTGGCATTAAATGCGGTGGTTGGCTGTCTCCAAAAGGAATCTTCGATGATTGAGCATGTTTGGCCGACGGCTCCTTGTGTAGCTGAGGGCTCCATGTAATCAAGGACCCCCGTATAGCCGAAGGCTTCGTGTGACCGAAGGCTTAGTTCAGCCGAAGGCTTCTCTGACGCCGAGGGCTTGATCATGCCGAAGGCTCATGTTTTTCGCCGTTTTCTCCCAGCAGCTTCTTATGCCAGAGAAGGCTGTCCTGTGAGTTTTTGGAGCCTTCGGCCAAGGAGGCCGAAGGCACCCCAGTGTGTATTCTGGGCCACCCTGAGGCTTGGGCCGTTGCATTTGGGCCTGAGTTGTTCTCTGGGCTCAATGGACTTGTGTAGGAGAAGTAGGAGTCTATGGGCCGGGGGTTCCTGGGCCATATACTCCATCAGGAGTCCCTCACTCCTTTTGCCGAAAGGTACTTGAGGGAAAAGGAGTAGATGTGTTGATTCTTCTGGAGGCTTCATCATTTAGTTGGGCGCCTTTGTTTGAGAACTTGCCTTCTGCTGATTGCCGAAGGCTTCCCTCAGTCCCTCACATGTCGAGGGTTTTCTGAGGGAAGTATAACACCTGTATAACTGCCGAAGGCTTTCCTCAGTCCCTCACATGTCGAGGGTTTCCTGAGGAAGAGTATAGATGTATTGCCCGCATGTGTTGTGATGAAGGCTGCTTCACTACTACAAGTGATTTGAGGAAAAATTCCTGATACTTATTTTCTGCCGAAGGGGTGTTCTGTGTGATTCCCGAGGGGTGTATCCCAGTCCCCCACTCCTTTAGGCCGAAGGCAGGTTCGGGCTGAAGGAGTCATGATGTGTTGATAAGTTCCCGAGGGGGGTGACATTGATAAGCCGAAGACTTATGCGGCTACGGGCCGGAGGCATCTGGCGGAATTCGTTGGCAGAAGGATGTGGTGAGTGATAGTCGTTGTAATATAGCCGTTGGAAGAGGGGTCGACGTGGCGTTTTCTCGTTGGTTGGGGGTGGGCGGCTGCCATCCATTGGCTGAACCGGCGGCCTGTAATGATGGGCTTCCCAGTCGAGGCCCAGTTCTCGAGGCCCAGTTGCCTATAAATACCTCAAGGCAGAGCTCAGTTTCCCTTGTGCGCTCATAAACCCTAGCGAAGCTCTGCTGAATTTTCTAGAGAGAGAAACCTTTGCCTTCGATCAAACGCAACTCTTGAGGTCAGTTCTTCCTCCGTTCTTGTTTCACTTAGCACATTTTGCTTCCCCGCCTCCAGTCTCAGTGTTTAGAGAACTTTAGAACCCTCAGCTAGGAATCCTTCCCTTATTCCCAACTATGTCCTCCGCGAGTGATTCCCAAAATATCTCGAGGGAACCCTCGGCGCAATCAGAGAGCATCTCTGACGTGGCCTCTTCTAGCGATCGGGCGTCGCTGGCCAACGACTTTGCCGTAGCCGAGGAGATTCAGAGCAGCCTTCGAACGGAGATGGAAGCCGAGGACTTCGAACAGGTAATCGAGGATGAAGAGATGGCCCTCGTCGTTCAAGTTGCTCAGGAGGCTGAAGAGAGGGAGAGGCAAAGGGTTACTGTTGTCGTGCCCCCCCCTCGCGGAGCTGGTGAGGCGAGTAGTTCCCGGCCCCTAGATCCGGAGCCTTTGAGTGTTGTCCCTGCCAAGAAGAAGAAAAAACTGAGGGCTGCTCCGAAGAAGAAGCAAGCGGCCGTGGATGCCGGGCAACCAGTTGGGATCCCCAAGGGGCATTCGTACTTGGACACTACCGCCCTTGAGGTGAAGACCACGGCGTCGGGGGCCGAATGTCTAGCCCTCCAAGTCCTCGTGGGGCCGTCGGCACAAGTAGTGGAACCGGGGCCCAACGACCTGCTATCCCATCCCCCCGAGGGATGTTTTTCGGTGCACATGCTCTCGGTGGAGTTGGGGCTCAGATTCCCGCTCCACCCGTTTGTAGTAGCGTATTTGAAGCACGTGAAACTGGCCCCCTGCCAGCTCACACCCAATAGTCATTACTATCTGGCAGGGTTCCTGGCTCTCTGTCGAAG